TTGTCGCTGTCGCTGTAATCGTCATCGTCATTATTATTATTACTAATAATTAATTACCAATAATTCTGACGAAAAAGTTTCGGCTTTCGATAGTCTTTACTTTCTTATWTTTTCCATTCATACAAGATAATTATTGTATTATTTCACTGTCCGCCGCAGTGATTACAATATTATAAGTACCGCCTGTTTCTTCAAAATTCACGCGATGTTCCKATGACTCGTAGTATGTTTGTCTTAACGGCCAAAAATGATAGATTCGTCTTTGCATGTTAGCAATGAAGAATCAGACACGGCTGATTGGCTGCCCAACTCGTTTTTGAGATTCTTTCAACAGGATCTGAACAACATACCGGTGAAACTCTTAGGTATGTAATTCCATATAGATAGGATATATACAATATACATATAACATATAATATACCTACTTGGTATACCTACCTTTCTATTTTATTATGTCATTAAGGTTAGGCTAACGATGTATAAATTTAGATGGTTTTTTTTTTTATTTGGGGACTCAACTCGAATTCAGCGCTCTAGGAAAAAATCTAATTCTAAGTGCACGATTTTGTTTCATGTAACAAATACTTCAAACAAGAAACTTTTATTATCCATTTTTCTATTTTTATAGCAGTTTTTAAAATTTACAGATCACTTTATTATTTTGAAGTTGAAACATTAGAACACTTTTTAGCTTTTAGAGTTCATTAAGAACTTCAAAGTATTATATCAAGATACATTGTTTTCATATTATTTGATTTCATAAATTTAAGGTATTTTTCAATCGTATCAATCGTCAATATATATATGTTACGGGTAATGTTAACATTTGTATAAAGTCGGCATTAGCCGGATAATGTCGACATTAGCCATTCGTTTTGGCTCATGTATAATTTTTCGTTATAAACATGAAATATCAACATTATCCGGATAATGTTAACTTTAACCAGTCAATATTGAATAATGTTAGAAGTGATATATTAAATAGAGTTGTTACCATTCTGTACGATGATAAAGCGTTAGACTGCCAAAGTATAATATCTTAATTAACCTATAACTGAGTTAATAATCGTATACTTACGAAAAACGTCGTAGTCGTTAGACACCAAGGTTCAAAGTGAAATAAATATTTAGCTATTTAGCTATAACTATAAACTATCAAGAAAAAAAATAGCCATCGTTATATTAGTAATTAATTTGAAGATAACGGATTAGTACCGTAACAACCAACGACGCTTGTCGCATTCATTTGTTACTATTATAATGTATTTATAAATACGGCGAATGTCATACTATTCGGGTTTTTCGTGAAGCCTAGTTGATAATTTCAATAATTATTATTTATGTTATAAATAATAGTTATTCGTATAAATTTATTTATTTTTACTTAAAAATTCAAATTATCAAACGAAATGATAAGTAACAAATTTAATATGAGAATTTCATTAAATTCTGCGACCCGGTATTAAATTTTCATGGCCCGGTTATTGGATCGCGACCACTATTTGGGAAACGCTAATATACCTACAGTTGATCACAATTCTAAGGTAACACTAAATACCTCAGGTGGATGGCCTTGTATTGAAATGGGGTTTTCGAGAGGTGATAGGGAGTACTTAAACACATATTTTCAGATAAATTTCAAATTTTTAACACTTGGTGTGCGCATGTGCAATACAACTTACATTTTTTTAAAATGGAAACACTATTTTTTTTCTATATATTCGAATAATGTTTTTTCCCAACATTTTTCGTATAAAAAGTTTTTTTTCTATTTACAAAACTGACAAAGTTAGAGTAAGCCAATATTTGGATTTCTCGTATGCATAATTCGTGTTTAGTGAAATTTTCATTTATAACCACTGGAATTAATAAAATAAGAGTGAAATATAATTAAACATTATTTTTAAAGTATAATATTAAAATAAAATTTAACTATTACATTTATCTTATGAATTGTTTAAAAACTTCGTCATTATGTTCTAAGCATGATTCAAGACCTAACCGAATCACAATATTCAAATATCCAGAAATATTAAGACGTCCTAATATAGTTTAATTTAGTTAATACATTTTATTTTTTATTATAATATTAATAATGTATGCATTGTATGGTAATTTCTAATTGTGTTTTAAATATATTCAATATTGTTAATAATTTAAAATGATTTTAAAAATTTTTATGATGAGGATATTATCCAAAAGTTCTTGGATGATATCATATTATTCGGTAATGTTAACAGTTGGATATTGTGTATTATTACACGCAACATATATTATGAATTTGAAAACAGGAGCTCAAATAAATAACTAACAATTGGCCAAATGGACACATATACGATTGCATTTATTTTATTCTCAATATACATATTATGTCATATGTATTATACTGTTTATTTGTTGTGCACATTTAAGTTTAGTATTTGATTTTTATATTATTGTTAGTTTAGATAAGATAAAGAACTGTTAAAAATGTCAAAAGTTATACCTACCGTAATTTTTCCTATCGTTATTGTGTATCTATAAATAGAATATGGGTAATTTTTAAGGGCATTATAAGGCATTTAAATCCAAGCCCTAAACATTAAACATATTAACACTAACTTATTTAATTAATTAATAATTTTTTTTGCTGCATATCTAATATATATCTAGTTATATTGCGTGGCCATGTAGATGTGAACAGATTTTAAACGTAATTCGTGTCCATATTCATATAGGTATTATTATATTATTGATATTTCATAACTTGATATATTATTTGCAGTCTTATATGTCAATAGCTTTTGTGATGCATAAAATTTAAATCTACCTACGTATATTTTATCTATTTTATCAATTAATTACGTGATGCATAATTTCGATTGAAATTTCGAGTTTAAAAATGTAGTATAAATCATCCCTGTTAGAATAACTTTTATGTATGGTTTTTTGTTGTTGTAAAATTCAGATAYTTAAAGATATTTTTTATAATATTTTAAATTAACTTGAATCAAATAACAAAATGACAAATACAATAGGGATAAGTTAGATTTAGTCTAGTATTACGTTACTGACGTAAGTAATTTGTATAAACATTATATACTTACCTATCTTCTTTAGTTGTTTAGCTATTAGCCAAACAAAAAATAGTCTGAAGTAAGAATAACTTCTCCAGAAAAATGTTTGAAATGGGATAACTTTTAAGGGAAATATCCGAAATAAAAACATTTTTGTTGGTTTGAGCAAAATTAGTAGTGGAGACACAAAATTTTAACACCAGCTGTCGTCTATGTATGAGAAGGGTTGATTATTATTGACATTTAACGTTGCTTCTGGCAGAATATGGGTTATGACTAATGAGTATATTTGTCTACATACATCGGTATTAATGAAAATAAATGCCATTCTTATCGAAGTTTAAAAGTATCGTACTAACTTTCAGAATTCAATGCAGCCAATGCAGGCCATCGTGTTTTTTTGTATTTTTATAGTTTTTAATTTCAATGTATATAAGGAAAACTATTTAGCATGTGACATGATATGCATAGTATATAAGTATACCTACCTAGTATTTTTTGGACGTAATTATGTTATTATTTATGCTTATTATATTATAAATTTAAAAAAAATATTAACTGCAAAATAACTTAAAWTTTTTATAGTATATCYAAAGAAAAACAATTTTTATAAAGTTTATTAATGACCGTTTAAATTATTCTAGGAATGCTTTTAATAATTTTTATTTATTTATAAAAGCATGAAAAATACACACACACACATATATATATATTTATAAATATTTTATTACATTTTAAGACAGTATTAAATTTTAACAGTTAGGCAGGCTCTAAATTATAAAATAAATATTGATCGTAGGTATAAATTTGAAAGATCCCACTTTTACTTAAAATATAATATGATTTCTGGWACACAATAAAATTTCAGTATTTCATGTTAAAGCTTTTATTTTCTATAAATGTTGATAAAAATTATTCCTTTTTCTTTTCCGAGCTGTTTAGCTTGATAACATAATAAGTTTCTTCATAAGTTGCACTTATAGCAATTTTTAGAAACATCAAGAATACCTTTTTTACACAATTCAAATATCAAAATTTTACAAAAAATAATGGTTTTAATTAATTGGTTAGAGGTGATTAAAAAGTTATTATTCTTGGAAATTCTTAAACATTTTCATGGTTTTCGCCTGCATGTACTCGTATAAGCTTATTCACTGACCTGCTACGATTATAGACCCCACAATCAGAAAAATTCATAATATTAAGTATTATATAAAGACCACGGTGGCACGGTCTATGTAAAGTAATAAAATATTCAATTTTCAATTTTTACTTATGAATGAGTTATGTATTAACTTATAGAGTAACTTTTTCAAAATTGAAATTTTAAACAGCATCTATTTTTAATGTTCATTATATTGGTATATTATGATTAAAAATTATTTTAATTCTTAATAATAGTCACAGTTTATTAAATTTTACCATTTTCGAATGTGTGCATTAGCGGTTTTAAGTTAATACAGTATTGCATCATATAATTATAAACCCTATTTCATTAAAGCATTATAGTATGACTTAACATTTTAGAGCTACCTAATGATTATAATTTAATAACAATAAAATAATGTTACTGTATATTGAGAGTAATTTATAAAATAACGTTGATGATTGTTTGAGAATGTCAAGGACATCTTCGAAATCAACATTTCCTTAGACTTTCTTTTCAGAAGATGTTATAATAAATTTTGATCGTAAACTAATATTTTATTATCAAATTTAGAAATTACAGTTGATAATTATAAAGATCTAAATAAAATATCTCTTAATTATGACCCATTGGCACCTATTAATTAAAGGCCCAGAGTCTCATAGTGCAAGGACCTAGGTACTATACTTCGTCAGTAGGCCAGTTCACTCGCAGATATTGATTTGACTTATAAGTTATAAGTTTATAAAAACCTACCTAATATGATATATTGATATATTAATCTAATTATTTTACAGCTAGTATACCAAAGTGTGGTGGCTGTCAAGAGTTAATACTAGACAGATTTATATTAAAAGTATTGGAACGCACTTGGCACGCTCGCTGTCTAAAGTGTAACGAGTGTGGAGCTACATTAGCCGACAAGTGTTTTGCCAGAAACGGAATGCTCTTTTGTAAAGACGACTTCTTTAAGTGAGTACAGTTTATGTAAGCGATAAAATTAATAGAATTAAATAATTTAAGTAACTAAGTATTAAAAAAGTGAGATATTTTAACAATTATGAAATTATTATGCAATCAATTTTTTTTTGTATTACAACACATACAAACCACCTTCAATATTTTTTTTTGCACATACTGAATGTAGTAAGAGTATTTTGATTTGCTCTTTCAGTTCGTTAAGATTGTTTAACTGTTCAATTGAAAATATTAAATTTTAAACTAAATGTTGAAGAAGAAATGACAAAGGGATTAAATATCAATAGTTGGATATTATTTCACTGAAACATAACGTGCTTATATAAACAAGAAACTTTAAGTGTATGATAAAATAATCATGGAAAAAAAAATTCTCACAGCATTAAATAATTACAATATATTCTGTGTTAGTTGTATAACAAAACTACAACTGATTCCTTATTTATACATAATAAGGACATATAGTATTGTTTTAAATACATCAGTGGCGGTCCTTGACCAATTCCAAGGGGGGGGGGGAAATATTTTTCACATTAAATACAATAAATACTCAAAAATAGGTACACGTGTCGTATGCTATTTACGTGAAAAAAATGTATTCTCACCTTACCTAAATAATTTTATTAGAGCTTGTATTTTTACAGTTGTYATTGAAATTATAATAGATTTATAAAAATGTATCTTTTATGTCTTTCAAAAAGCTTTCGAACGTATTGGTTGGATTGATTGAACGCCACCATTCTTCCTGTAATTGCCTATCGAGTAGGATTGTTGCACTTCGTGATCTTATATTGTAGTTGACCTTTAGGTGTCTCCATAAACATTCAATTGTTTGAGTTTGAGCACTTGTATGCGGTATGCGGATCTATGAAGTTCTTACTATGGTTAACAGTTTGGTGAAGAAAACCGTGATTTTTTAATGTATTGTATGCTCGCCACTCATCTGAATGAACTGTTGATCCTGGTTCTATTTCTTGAATTATTATTGGTAATAATGTGTCTCGATCCATCTTATTGACTATAAAAAACGGCGTTCAAAATTCCATCTTCACGCAAACAGCACATGCCAAACACCTAAGGTCCTTGAACTCAGCTGCCATAATTTCGATTAGTATCATAGTTTTGATTTTCTTCGTTAGAATTATCCTCGGAAGTATCTGTAGTATTACCATCATTATCTTCATTATCAATGAATCTAACGTATTAAAAATAGGATGAGAAAATGTGTAGATAACTTTAATAATATAGATAGCATATGACACCAATAAATCGACCGTAGATAGCATACGACACGTGTACCACCCCGTAAACTGCTAAATATGAAGGAATAAACAAATATATAATAGTAGGTACTAACTACTAAGTTCTGTGCTACTGCCAACTAATATCGAATCTACTAACAGTAGGACTAAAAAAAAAGTAGGAATAAAATAAAATATAATTCTACACAATATTATTTTGATATTAGTTGGTACTTACCACGATCACGAGTATATCTGATAATGAAACAAAATAATGAGGTTGAAAAATGTCCAAGAGCTACGTAATACGTATATTCATCAAAACCGATGGAAATCGACACTCGACAGAATCACTAACATCAGTTTAGGTTTATAAGAAATTAGTAGATAGATATCACGGGCTAAGATAATTATACAAATAGTTTTTATTATTCCGTATTTCCGTGCTAGGTATAAATAAAATTGTTTTCACTAATAAAATCATAATAACAGCGGTTTGATAACCGATAATGCGTCTACTTTTCCCGGATTGCCGCCGCGACTTGGATCTTATGACGTTACGCATAATTTTTAAAACGCCCCGTAACTTTATAACAAATCACCGTAGACAATTTTATTTACATTTTTAGTTTATGCAACTCGTAATAATAATAATAGAAAATAAAAATAAATATGATTTTTGTGTTGTATGGTCCTTGAATATATATATTTTTTTAAATTTGGTTAGAGACTAATTTTTGGTGTTTGCCAGAAGGTACGGGACAAAATGCGCCGGTTGCGATTTGGGAATCCCGCCCACGCAAATAGTTCGGAGGGCACAAGATCTCGTTTACCACTTACAATGTTTTGCATGTGTCATGTGTGGTCGTACATTGAATACTGGTGATGAATTTTATCTGATGGAGGATCGGAAATTAGTATGCAAACCTGATTACGAAGCAGCRAAAACTAAAGGTTTGTTTCAAACTTCATTACGATTCCTAGCGTTTTTACGGTGTTCCAAAATATGTAAAAATGTGTGGTTTTTTATTATAATTGATTCGCGTTTAATAGTAAAGGATATTTTTAGAAGGTGGATGCCTSGATGGCGATCAACCAAATAAACGTCCAAGAACGACTATTACAGCCAAACAGTTGGAGACATTAAAAATGGCGTACAACAACAGTCCAAAGCCAGCTAGACATGTCAGAGAACAACTTAGTCAAGACACTGGATTAGACATGAGGGTAGTTCAAGTTTGGTTTCAAAACAGGTGAATTATAATATTATAAATTAATTATTTGTTATATTTATTACGAGATTAATTTTATTTAGCATACATTATGTTTTCTTAAATATTTTATTTTAAAGCATTTTATAGAGGTACCTACTTATATATGATTCTTTCCTGGATTCTAATATCCTGTTGTATTGCACGTTTCTACTTCTACAAATCTAAAATATTTAATTAGAAAACTACGTATTTAACATTAAATATTTTAATAAAATAATTTCTATGGTAGAAAATAGAAGAATGTAAACCTTCACTACTTGAAAATTAAAAAAATCAATTCGTGTGATTTAATTTTAGAAAGATAAAAAAAGGTGAGAATTAGCATTTCTTAGAAGGTAACATCAAATTTTAATTTTAAATAAATTTTATATTTATTGTTAATTGGAACAGCTAAAAGAAGACATCCTCATCGCTAGTTATTAGCTTTAAATTACTTTAATTTAAGAATAGCTATTATCTGGATATATCGAACCATATCGTTTGGTTACCAAATAATTGTATTTAATTGTAAATATTTAATACATTTACATAGAATCTACTCTGATGTCCACTAGTGCTAACAATAGTTTGTTACAATTATGTCATTATGAACTCTTAATTAATCGATAAAATAATAATATTCAATAAGTATACCTATTAACTAATTAACAATTATAGACTTGTAAACTGTATAATAACAGTAGGTATAAAGCATAATTTAAAATTAAGTAGGTATACTGTATATTTTTAAAAGTACTTTATACCTTGCTATAATCCGCTATAGGTATAGGCTATTGCTATAGGTATCCATACTATAATCCGTAAAACGAACATTTAAAACAAGTACGGATAATGGTCATACCTATTATAAATGTAATATTTATTTAACATTGTAGTTGGTAGGTTAAAATTTAACACTGTCTCAGAATAATGTTATATGTAGCAGATAAATAACAGCGTATTAATAACACTTAACTTTTTTATATAATAATTAGGTAGGTAGTTACTCACGAGTTTAAAGAAATAATATTTTTTTTTTTTTAATGCGTGTTATAGCTTAATTTTTATTGTAATAGTGATACTCACTGAATTAATAAAAATAAATTATTTATTAGAAAAATATATCAATGATGGAACAAAGTTTCGTAAATATTAAAAAATTCATTAATTATATTTTGAAAAATTATTATTATTATATTTTAGACGTGCAAAAGAAAAAAGGCTTAAAAAAGACGCTGGAAGATCACGTTGGAGCCAATATTTCAGAACAATGAAAGGTTCAATATCGCCTCGAAACGACAAAGACGATCTTAAGGTTGATCTTGATTCGAATTTCAGTCACTCGCACGGTAAATTTCTGGAAAATAAATTTCAAGTAATATTCATTCAACTATTTATTCTACTTTGTTTAGACTTAGAAAGCAATGACAGTTATGGTACAAGCACGTTAACCATTGACCAAGAACACAGCTCTCCATTACCTGGAAGTCATCACCATAAGTTTTTGCCCGGAAACTCATCCCCATCTTCACATCAATACATGTCATCACCCACACAACACGTTACCACGTTTACAGCTGATAATGGTTACATCACAGTAGGCAAGTTGTAAAATACATCTGTTTTCATTGTAATGTATCCGAAAGATGTCTCGAAGATCGAGACTTACACTGTCCTAAACCGTAATAAATTGTAAATTTTTTTAAAGAACGCATTCATACATATTATGCATTTATCAATATATCTACTTGTAGACGACCAAGCTGGAGCATTTCCACTCTGGATTTTCTCGGTCATTGAGAAATCGTGAACAAAATAAGAAAAAAATTTAAATTCCTTCCCAAATCGTAATATTGGCCAATCCCTTTAGAAAAATGTATGCGAATGACATAATTTTTACGGACCTATTATTTTGTTTTTTTTTTGAAAAATTAATTTATTACATTTAAAAAGACAAAAATAACCGATGAATAATCATACAAAACTTTAATATACCTACTATTTTAATTACAGATATTTATACATTTCTAGGTTACGTTAAATTTAACAAAAGTAATGCGTTATTTTTAAGACATAACTTTGTTTATAAAAATTTAATTAAAATTATTTTTTATGAGTAACCTTTAAAGTTATAATATCTAACGCTATTATAATCTTACGAGTATATCTATTTTCTGAGTTAATGTTTTGCAGATAGGTACAAAATTTTATCGTACAGTACTTAATTTAATTATAATTATAATTTACAACTATTCATGAAATACCCACAATAGTTACTTATTAGTAAATATGGTATCGTTGTCAAATTATTATTATTTATAATCATCAACTGACACCTATCCTCTCTCGGCGCTTTACGACAGTAATGGGTGTAGCTAACACGTGCGCCGAATACCATACTATTGGGAACTTCACTTTATCTTTCTAACTTAGCCCTATGCCACTTAAAATGAAATGCGACTTTTCAGTCATAACCTCAAAAACCATACTAAATACAAAGGTAAATCAATTAATGAGCTGAACTATATTAAAAATCAAGCAGTTTATTGCGAACAAAAAGATTCTTATATTATTTAACAATTTCATATATTTATATGATGACAAATACCTTTTAAATACCAGAATAATTCTTGTTTACTTATGTTTTATGACTTCCGTTAGTATAAATTATGTTAGTTAAAATTTTTATTTTAAATTCATCAAATTGAATACATATTGAATACAAATTCAATATATAGATCGGGTATACATTTATAAAAAAAATTAAAAGCACACATCATTGTAAAATTAATGCACTAATAAAACTAATAATAATTATTATATTTTAAACGAGACGTGTATAATTTTCTAAATATAATCATAATAATCAATGATCAACGGTTGACGATTGTCGCTAAGCCAAACTTTGGGAAAAAAAATATCAATGTTTCGTTAAAAATAGATTAACGCGAGTCACGTATTTTAGCCTCTGTAACATAGTTTTACTATAAATTGTTTTTATACAGCCATAACTTCTTTTAAATTTATTTTGGATACGTATTAAGTACAAAAATAATTAATATTYCCATTAGAAATGTATAATTGTATTTGATAAAACAAATAAAAGTGATCATTTATAATGTTACCTATACAAAACAATTTAAATAAAATAAATTTTGTTTTTAAATCCCCAAATGACACATTTTGCCGCCCAGAGTTACAGCCTTGGTTAGCCCTAGTGTAAATACGTCACTGGTCGATGCCTTTTACTGTTGATAGTACTAGTTCTCTAAAAGGCATATAATATATAATTTATATTATACATATTATATTATTTATATATCGCTATTACACTGTATCCATGTTCTGTGTAACAGTGTAACATGATGTGACCTGTGTTCAAGATTTTCAAATTATTCGTCAATTTAAATAATATTGTTTAGGTAAGTTAAGTGATTTCACTAGTAATATAAACGCCCTAACCCACAATTAAATATTTTCAACTATTTAGTTATTATTATGACAGGTGGTTAACCATAAGGTTTGTGTGTAGTTAAAAATCGACAACTGATTTTTCATTCCAAGTAATTTAATATAAAGTAAATAACAAGTGAATGAAGTCTGATATTTTGATGTTTATATATGTACAATGAATAAATTAACTCATAATCATTAATAACAGAAGTACTTAGGTATAGAATTAGAAAATGTCTTACGATTTRTTATCAGCGAAATGTAGTCATGCGAAATGTGTGTTAAATGTAGTGGGGGACAATATTTCTTTAGATGGGGGAAACAACTCAATATACCTATATGATTAAGATTGGAATGATATTATTTTTAGGGGGTACCTACAACATTTCCTAGACGTCAGTTGAAATTTTACATCACAGTTCAAATATATCAGTGTTTTTATGAATAGGTACCTATGAACGATAAAAGGTTCTAAATTTATTTATTATATTATTTTCTTTAGGTCCTGCTCATTCAGCTCCATCAGAACTAAGTGACAACAGTAGCACGCATGGTTTTGCAGATTTCCCACCAAGTCCAGATTCATGGCTGGGCGAAACACCTCACAGATATTAAAAATATATTATCATCATTAACTAAAATAATGTATTATGAAGTACAAATCAAAATATTCTTTTAACCTACCAGAGGCTATACCAAACATACTGACTGGGTGAGAGCATTATAATTTTTATATTTGTTATTAATTATTTGTGATGCTGTATATTCAAATACCTATTACATAATAGTTTCATTTTATTGATGTTTTAACTTTAATACCTATATTTTAATTATTTTGTTTCAGGAGAACCAAGTTTTTAAAATATTTAATGATTATTTTATTTCCTGTGTTTGTGTGACATGTGTATCATTAGTTCTCACAACAGTTTTTATGGTATTTCATTAGGTTTTCGCCAAGAATCGTGTTTAGCTGTAGATATTTTTTCTTTTTGATCTCGAATTTATATTCATCTAAATGTTATCTTTAAATAAATCAAAATAACTTTTTCAAGCTATGTAAATTTGTTGTTTCAATTTAAAATACGTTGACATGAATAACATTATACATATTGTGTACATATTATAATAAGGCTACATTGTATCATTGTATATTAATGTATTACCCTTTGGAAGACTAAGTTATGTAATTAATATTATTATATCTAAAAATATTCACCGTGTATGAAATTGAATGTAAAATAAGCTTTAATAAATGTATCGTTAATAAAGAACTGTTTGGAATTGTCTTAATATTTTTAGTGAACATACATGTAAATACATTATAATGTAGTCGGTTAAATAACCTACCGTACAAAGTTAAATTGTCTCAAAATAAGTGGACGGATGTCCTTAATCAATATAGTTCATTCTCATATATAACATAAAGCATTTTACACATTTGGGGAGGAGGGAGTGAGTAAAATTCCTGATACATTTTTTCTCATATAAGTACATATAGTACCCATCCACAATTTACGTTTTTAGTTTGGTATTGTCACATCACGTGAGCTCACGTGCAGTCACGTTGGCACATTTAATTCGTGATATCACGCTTAGAAATAAACTATAGTCATATTATCATGTCGCAATTTAGTACCAAGTCACTGCTGCAGCTGTTTTTGCAGTTTTGGACGAAGAAAATAAAAAATCCACCCGATCGTGCTGGGTACACGATATTAATAAAAAAAAGGTCAAAATTGGGAGAATTCCATCGTTTAGTTCAGTGGTCTTCAACCTTTTTGGACTCGCGACCCACGTAAGCTTTATAAAAAATCGAAAATTTGCAATAGTACTATTAAAATTGAATGAATAAAAATTACATTTTAATAGGTAGAATATTATTATTAATTGAAAATGTATAGAATTCATATGAAAATATAAAATAAAATGAAAATATGATACAAAAAATGTATTAACATTTATTATACTTCGTCCTTAAACACAGCAACAATATCGATAATATTCGTAGATTACGGGACTCTAACGATAACAATGTTAATTCTATTAATAACACAGTTTATTCGTTAATTCTTATCTCAATAAATTACTATCTTACTACGTACAATCATACCAGTCTAATATGAAACATTATACCGTGATTTAATATTCATTATAATATTATAGAATAGAATATAGAATAACAATAAATTATAAAATATTGTTGATACMATATAATACACAACATACACTACTATTTTTAAAMTATATTTTCATTTATTAAATTTCTAAATTTAATTATTAAAAAATTATTTTTTTACCTTTTATAATATTAAAAATTTTATTTTTATTTTAAAAAGAAGACTTATCGCGACCCAATTTTAAAACTTACGCGACCCAAAAATGGGTCGCGACCCACCGGTTGAAGACCACTGGTCTAGTTCAAGAACTACGAAACGATCCAAGACGATTTCACAAGTATTTCCGAATGACGAATGAAGAATTTGATTATATACACAACCTTATTAAAAAATAYATACAAAAACAAAGCACACAATTTCGAAAACCTATTAGTACCGAAGAAAGCTGTTTGTTTGAGGTAAGTAATGAAAAATTAAATATTTCTGGACATATAAATTATTTTATTATTTTTAAATATAATTAATTGTATATGTTTTTAGTTTTATAATTTAAACAAATTCATTTTAAATTACTAACATATTAATTACCATCAAGTACTGAGATTATGAATTATTAGTATACAATTTTAGATTATTAATTAAGCTACATAATATTAAATCACTCGTATTGAGATTGAGGAATAGACATCATTTGAAGTAATGTCTGGTAGGAGTCTGGTCTTGTGCTTGAAAATATTGCTCCACTGATCTTTGATAATTTTGTTCAGTAGTTATAGAATAATTGTTGGGTGAGTCTATAGGCGATGGTATTATATGTAAACTACTTGTACTAAGTGCTGAGGATTGACCGGAAACTGATGGCATTGTCTGCAAGCTTCTCATACTAGGTTACTAGGTGCCGGAGAATGAGTTGAAACATATAGTTGTTGTGTAGGAAACTGGGATAAATAACTGAAGAACTTGGTTCTCGATTACACTTTATTTCAGCAGATAATACTGAGTTACTTAATGCAAGTTTAATTTGAGCTTGTTCAAATTTTGGTAATTGTTTTATCATTCATGACATACTCAGGAAAAACATGTCCATATCATCCAGATTTTCAAATTGGTTAGTTATTTTACGTCCTTGATGGCTGATACACTTTTCTTCATACTAACGTTTTCTACGAGTAGAATTTTCTTTAAGAATTTCAACTAGCTGTTGTGCTGGATTTTTAGTTTTTTGTTACGTTTTATGTGTTCGTAATATCTTTCATCTGCTGCAGCAGCATTGCTGAATGTTGCTTCATCTTGGTTATCTTCAATACTTCGTTCATTTTGCGTTTCTCTGTGAATCTGTGCTTGTTCGGACTGACATAGTATGTTTTCTTCTTCAGACCCCTCTGACAAATCATCTGGCTCATTGATCAAATTTGCAGATGTCTGAGATTCGTTTAAGTTACTATGCGTCCTTTAATTGAATAAAAAAAACGTTAGGAATAAAATTAAATATAAAATAATAATTTAATAATTTAATAAATTAATTTTTACTTTCTGCTTCCTAAATATGGTATAATAAATTACATTTGTGGTTCGTATTTCCACACAGACTTCTTTTTGGAAGCCATGCCACTTTTTGTTTCTTCTCTACGTCTGTTTCGAACATTACAGAAACATGTCCTTAAATTTTCCCATTTTTGTTTAGCAATATTCCCTAAAAAGGAAATTAACATTAAACATTTTTTTTATTTTAGATTTTTAGCGACAGGAAACTCCTTTAGTAGTATTGGTTTCAATTACAGAATGGGTTTCAGTACAGTTAGAGAAATCGTTAAAGAAGTTTGTGAGGCAATATGGGACAATTTAGGCCCACTTATTATGCCAGAACCCACAGAGGAAATGTGGAAAAAAGTTGCAGCAAGATATAAAACCATGTGGCATTTCCCAAACTGTATAGGGGCTATAGACGGTAAGCACATAAATATACAGTGCCCTATTAATGTCGGATCTACATATTACAATTACAAGGGAAGCCAMTCTATTGTTCTATTAGCAATAGTAGATGCAGACTACAAGTTCATTACAATTGATGTCGAATCATACGGAAGGAACAGCGACGGAGGAATTTTTTCTAACTCAATTATTGGTAAAAAGTTGCACAACAATACACTCAATATTCCGGAACCTAATCCTTTATTAGAAAATGGAGAACCGTTACCATATGTTTTTGTCGGAGATGAAGCGTTTCCATTAAAACCATATTTGATGCGTCCATACAGCAGAAATAGTTTAGGAGACAACGAACCTAATAAAATATTTAATTATAGACTATCACGAGCACGACGTGTCGTTTAAAATGCCTTTGGAATTCTAGCTACAAGATGGAGATGTTTCCGACGTCACATTGAAGTACAACCAGAATTCGTTGATAAAATTGTTCTCGCATCTTGCTGTTTACATAATATGTTGCGTATAGACAATGAGTTTGAACCCGACTTTGAATTAAATCAAGCTCCAGAAAACGCTTTTTTAAGTATAGATGCTCTTTGAAGAAATAGCACTCGAGAAGCAACTCAAATTCGAAACGCATTTAAAGATTATTTTAATTCTGATGCTGGTAGTGTAGTATGGCAAGTCGATAGTATTAGAAAAGGAAGAATACATACTTAGTTTAATTCTTACTACTTATATTTTTATCATAAATTGTACATATACATATTAATAAACGACTTCATTTATTTATTAATTTTAAAATTTAAATAAAATGAAAAGTTCTGAATATATTGTATCGTAGTTTGTATTTGAAGATTTGTATACCTATAAGAAAAAAATACGTATAACAATTTGTGTCTACTGATAGGTGAAAGTTATTAATATTTTTAATATATAAAGTAAATACAAATATTAGTAGAACGATAACCACATAATAGTTGAACTACTAGGAGGTACGAGATATCTATTTTAGTTATTTGGATATCGTGTTTATGAGTGGACTGTGAATTTTTCCTAAATAAACATAATCTAATAGCATAATAAAATATGGTATTGCTATTTTCTGGTGCCGTTGCTTATAGACAACTGATAAATAAAACAAATCATCTGTGTAAATTCAAAAAAAATTTCTCTTTGTTTAGAATCTAAAATAATAGTAAAAATAATAATTTAATTACCTGTTATTCTAAGCTCCTTTCCGATTTCTTCCCATGCATTCTGTCTTATTTGTTGGTCCCTATAATCGGTGGAACCATGGTCATATAAAACTTTATGTTCACAATCTTTTTCGATTAAAAGTTCATCCATTTTAAAATTAATTAATTTAATGTAGGTAAATGCAATTTTAATTTTAATATTTTATATATATTTTTCCAAATAGACCAAATGCGTGATGACACGTGAGTGGAAAATGTGTATGATGTTAGAAAATCAAAATGTGCTATCACGCGTGAGCTATCAAATATGACGTGACACGCGTGAGATGACATAAGTGTGGCGCTGATACATTAAAATACTGTATAAATCTATATCCCACACTTTTTTCCCGTAACGTGATAACACGTGACAGCATGTGAGCTCACGTGAAGTGACAATAGTCTGTTCCCACCTTAAACATTACTATTTAGTGAGGTATTTGTTTCTCAACTCGTTCACTTAGCTTTTTTTATTTTAAAAATACAATTTGCTATAAGCTAGTGTCTACTCGTATATATTTTTATCAGATTAGATTAGAATTATTAGTGTTTATATAATTTTTTTTTGTAAATATATATTTGATAAATGTCGCGGGCCGCGGGTTGCCATCCCTGCTATACAATATAGGTATTAAACTTAACCTTTAGTATTGTCATCCTCCAGTTCAACAATCCATTTTTTTTAAATGTTTATCTTTCAGCCATTCGCCACAGAACTTTTGTGCATACTGTGGTGTCATAATTAAACATATATTACAAATTAACAACAGTTAAAAATATTAAGACTGTAGGTCAGTATTTATATTTAGTAGATGCGAGAAAAAATTCAAAAGAACGTACGCACCAACACGAATGTCTAAACAGTAAGAACAGTTGTTAGTAAATAAACCTCTTGATGCACACAATTTTTTTTTCCGTTACAATTTAGCTTCAATATAAAAGGAAAATTATAGAAAAAATGTTTAGTTTAAAAATCAATAAAATGAGAAATTTATCAAACTGCGTCATTTGTGCGTCGTAATGTTCATTTTGATACCAATAAAATAATATTCAAATATTTATAAAATTTTTATTTATTTCTTATATTATTATCACTTAATACATTGCGAACATTCTATCATTAATTTATAATTAATATGTAGTAACATTAAAATTATTTTTAAAACAACTTATTTACTCATTGTTTTTTATTTCATATAATAACAAGTTTATACTTTTAGAGATCTTAAGTTCATGTAATTGATCACTTTAAAATTATCACAATTGTTTGTTATACAAAATGTTTTCTAACTTACGATATAAATAACTTATTACTTTATTTTAATTAAAATATTACATTTATATATTACATTCCTTTGTAATAAAATATCAAAATAAAATGTTTAACAATATTATAAAAATAACAAAAACTTAACTACCTATATATTTATTACCCTTATTTTATTTTTGAGAGTGGAAATGTTCCATGCATTCTGGGCATACAGGCTCGTCGAATTTAGAAAATTTATAGCGAGTACGACTTCTACACAGATTATCATGGCACCTTATTATCTTATATAGCGCTCTTTATCTCAAATTTTTTGGCCAATGATTTTATCCATCATAGTAAATTTCTGGAATATTTTTATTTTGTCCTTCTCTGGTTTTTTTTTTAGCAGAACTGGAGAGGGTGAGGCACATGGTGAATTCAAAGGTCGTCCTCTTTTTTTAAGACGATTAGATGTAGAATTTAACTGTGTCAAACTAGTTGCTATAGAAGCTTTAAAACGTAACAGTGATAAAGGAGGGTTTTGACTTTGTCTATATAAAATCCATGTGTTCAGAATCGCAATATTCAAAAACTGAAAAAATATCCGAAGGTACCATTTTTTTTGTTTTTGAAGCCGTGAGGATAGTGAGATATAATACGATCCGTGAAATCCACACCTCCCATACATTTGTTGTATTCTTAAATACAAAATAACGGTCTAGTAATTGGTATCTTTGTTTTTTCTTTCTTGTCGTTACGTAATATTTCATCAAATGGGTCTGCGCCAGCATACAAAGAAATCATATGAACTTCTCTTTTACCTATCCAGCGCAGAACTGTTATATTGTCTTTTGACGTAGCCATTGTACAAGACCATTGTACAAGAACCTCGTTGAAGTATTTTACCTGGTACTAGAGAAGTTTGTATTTGACTAATTCTATTCATTCTAACCGTTCCTATAAGGCTATAACCCATATACTCAAGGAACGTAATTGTCTTATAAGTGGCAATGAAGTAAAACGATTGTCCATGAACAGCTTATGATTTTTACCATGCAAARCATGACATAAATTCAGAACAGAATCACCTATTGGACCATATCTGCTTCGATCTCGAGTAGATATGGTTCGAAATAGTTGATGTATCCGTTGCTATTTGCTTTTACCCATATTTTAAAGCCCCACTTTTTGTTAAATGCATTATTCTAAATGATTTTAATTAATGAAATGATGATACCTTTAAAAGGTATCATCATCTCATCAATAAAAATATTCTCAGTAGGGGACGCACAATCATGAAAAGTTTTATGAAGTATTTCAAGAACCGGACGAATTTTCCAATAACAATCATTTAAATTTGGAGCACTCAAGTTATTTGTAAAATGTGAGTAATGTTTAATTTCACTAAATCTATTAACGGACATAACATTTGCAATTTGATCCATTCTTAGACCAGGCTCACTTGACCAATACATTCTAGTGTTTGGATACTTTAAATACGTCATAATATTATTAATACCAATAATAGCTTTTATTTCATTTTTAGAAACATGGTATGAAAAATAACAATTTTGGACTGCATATTGACAACTTTCGTTACCAATAAGTTAAAAAATAGAATCTGGAAAAAGTTGAATAAAATAGCCATACTGTGTAAATACTTGAATTGAACTTAATTTACCTGTAAACTTAGGAATGTTTCCTAAATATTTGTATGTAAATTTATTACGTAAATATAGAAAATTAATATTATTTTTGTAATTTAATCTTAAAGTTAAAATTGCGCTGAATACGATGTTGAAATTCTAATTTATATACCATTTTTAGTTTTTTAATTATAATTTTTTAAAGGTAATAAAGTCGAGTATGTCCCTATCTAATACAGGTTAATTTTACTCCAAGCCGGCCTCGCATTTGACCGCCACGCAGACTGGTGGAGACATTAGTCTGCGATGTTTTACGGGACGGTTTTTGTGGTAGAGTTTGGCCTATAATTTAAATTACGATTTTGTACTACGTTCAAGTCTCTAAAAATAAAAAAATTAAATTAAATTAATAATAGTTGAAATATTTATCCTGCGAGTAGCTTAAAAAAAAATTTATAAAATATGAATTAAAAATTCTAGTCTCTTCCACCTATGTAAAAATATACATATATTAAGTGTAAAATGTACTAATATTGAATTATTGAATATTAAAACTTTAAAAAGGCCCATAATTTTTTGCATTTGTTTGGTTCAAGTTTATGTTCAATCCTAGGTTTCGTTTTTTTTTCACTGTAGTCTTTTCTCCTAATGGTGGTCGACCAGCTAATAATCGTTCACTTCCTTTAGTAACTTTTGCAGACCTCCTTGCGATTGACGTTGGTTGAACTTTGATCAGAGCACTATCTCTTTTTCTCAATGCAACCTGTTGACCAGCAGTGTGTAAAAAAGTTTTCCATTGTCCTTCAGTTTTAATTGTTTTCATGACAATTATTCATAATCTTTAATATATTTTCAATCATCATTCTTTTATCTTCATTATCATTATTTTCAATTCTAGATGTGCTAAGGGCCAGTATTACAAGATATGATTATATCTTCGGTTACCTGACCATCCGTTTACGCCTCGGTTATCAATTTAACCACGGTTTTGTCTTTTACGGTCCGTTATCAGAAAAAGTAGTATTAAAATACCCCGTCAGAGATCAATTCAGTAATCAACTGTTTTGACCACGGTTATCAAGAAGATAATAAATTACTATGTTCCGAACTGCCAATGAATCAAGTCCAATATTTAATTTTTACTTTTTTAAGTTAAAAAATATTATTATACATAATTAAAAATCATGGATAGAAAATCTTCCAAAAGTAAAAACTTTAGTTTCGCTGACGAAGAGGAACTGATGAATTTAGTTTCAAAATACTGGGCAGTTA